AGTATTTTTAAAAGACTCAATTGCCTGTTGAAGAATTCTAAACATTTTTGTTTGTTTGCTTCCTGTTCTCCACGGATAATGAACAGGTCTAGAAGGAAAGGTATTTTTTTGCTACTTACATTTCCATACCCAGATAATAATACATCTGTTTCCTCAAACTTTTAGTAAACTGAGAAAGCATTTCCCAGGAGAGGGAAGTTTCTTACCACTTGTATAACACTTTGTCCAGTGCCTAGTTTTTTACCTTAACTCATGCAATATGCTTCATGTGAGGAATACCAAGGGGTAAGTTCTATATAAGTGAGGTTCAGGATCACAGTGGTAAGGCTGCAAATACAGAGAGAAAACATGGCAGCAATGCACGGGTGCATCAGTCAGAGCTGTAATTAGAAGGCGATTTTATGGAGCATGACTTATTTATAGTGCACATCTACAGGGATAACATTGAAGTACCTTACTCTGCCTTCCTTCATGACTATGACCTTCTCTGTAGGGATGGGAGCAGGCAGATAACTGCAGACTATTGTCTGTCTGTTGGAATGTCATCCTTCTGTAATATATTGAAAGACACAATTTGCATCAGGGAAGGTATTTCTCAAATCCTGAGTTAGGGTGACCTGGCCAGATCAGGATGGAGAGGAGAGTGCAGTGTCCACTGTGGTTACCAAGAGTGACGTGTGCCCAGCCAGCCTCACAAAACAAACAGTTCCCATGTGCTCGCTGTTCTTTGCAGGAGTTTCTACTCTAATTCAGTTGATGTCAGTTAGGCATCTTTGGCAGCAGACTTGCTTGAAGTCCTTGAAGGGACTCTTCACAGAGCAGAGAAGGCAGGAACAGGTGCACTTCTGCAGTAGCTATGGAAGCAGAGTGCATAGAGATGAAACAGCAGCGCTGGTAAAGGAAATAAACTTGGAACTGTTAAGCTCTTTAGGAAAAGAGGAGCTATGAAATCCTTGCAGAAGCAAAAATCCAACTATTTTCAGTATCTCTTCACAATCTGCATTGTCAGAAATAATGTGCAGTATCAGTTTGCTTCCTTTCCTAGTTAATTTTTTAAGAAGTTGTCCACTTTTTTATCAGCTGCTCAGCTTTGTCTGATAATGAGCCTCCTTTCAGGCACACATTATGCTTCAGTAAACCATCAAAACCAATATACAGAGAATTTCTGAAAAAAGAAGTGCTATACAATAATGATGAACATATTGTCCTCAAGCTGTGGAGGTTAACAACCCAGAATTGCTTTGGTATTTGTACATAGTGAAATAAAAAGAATTTATATGTTTGCTCTCATTTTAGTGGGCTCTTGTGATTCATTACATTGGCACTTCAGAGTTGAGAATAGTCACTTGTCTCCTGCAAAGCAGCACCCTTAACTGTGTTACTATTTGGTTGCTCATTATTGTCCTAACTCTTTTCTTTTTTATTGCTGCACAAATACACTTTGGTCTCACAGTAAGTTGCCTAATGCTGCTTTCTGTGGCATTCATTGTCTGAAGGATCAGGGTTCTGGTGTACTCAGAAAGAAATCAGCTAAGTAAATCTATAGTAGCATTGTTGTTTAAACAGTGTCTTGGATTGTTAAAAATAAAGAAAAAAAAGATAAGTTATGTTCCTATGGGTACCTTTCATTTAAGTTTAATAGTTTTTTTTTTATAAAATGGTAGCAGCTGTAGAAAACCTTTACTTACCTTTTTGCTTACTTTGATTTAGTCTTTAAGGACAATACAGTCATTTTACAGTCTGTCCTGGGTAAGGAAAAGTGCATAATTGCTGTGCCCTAAGAGCAGCCTGGGAAATAAATTATGAGTTGAAAGGCTCTAATCTTTCCCTGCCAACCTACAGTCCTGCTTGCTTTACGCAGGTATTAAGACCATTAAGAATAAAGGTATTCAGGTGCCTAAGGATGCAAATACGCTCACAGTCTTTTGGGTTATTTTTTTCTCCAGAAATGGAAGGTAGGCCACTCATGTTCACTGAAACCAAGAGGTCCTGCACACCTGTTCCCTTCTAGCCCTCTGCAAAAAGTGTTATATGCCTTATTGCATCCATAAGTTCCTCCAACAGTTCTAAACTGGATCCTGTTATTTTACTTGAGGCCCTGGCTCCATACCCAGCCAGTATCCAGGTAGCATGAGACCATCCCATATTACCTACCTGGTGCCTATTTGGTCTCTACTAACCATATGAGAATTCCTGTGGGGCAAGCTCAGAAATCGTTGTTTCTATTCTGGCAGCCACATTTGCTCAGAAGAACTATACTTTAAACAAAGGGGCAACCTTGGTGCTTCTGTCACTTGTTTTCATCAAAATGTTTGTTTTCTATCCCTCATTCTATGTATAAGTCATTCAGATCAATAACCATTCTTAGTCTTATCTTTTAACCAAATATTAACAGTGTTTTCTGTTTACCAGCTGATATTAACTCACACTAGCTTTTTCCTGCATTCAGAAATCCTGTTCTCAGCTTTTTCTTTAAACCTGTTATTAATTCTGCCTTTTATGTCTAAATCTGGTACAGCAGCACAATTAACTGCTTTCCTTTAACATGCAAGATTATAAGCGATCTCTGTGATACTGCTGACATTAAGAAAGTAAATGGGGTTAAACTGATTCTCATTACAAGCTGATCTTTATACAGTCTTTGGTTGGCAGAACCGGTAACAGATGTGTATTGCAGAATTAATTTTAAGAGAGTTACAAGAACCATTGCTACATAGCAGTGACATCAGGTGATATCAGATATCGGAGAATGGAAGAATCCACACAAGTGTTTTATCTCCCTCAAGCCAAGATATTAGTTGTGCTTTATTCTGCCATTTAAAAGAAATCATTAATGACACTGTCAACATCTTCTTTTGTGCTCTTTGTTTCCTTCTGATTTAAATACGAATCAGTTTTCCCTTTAGCAAGACTGGGAAGTAGAGAAGTTCAAGCTCTGCTGCTCACAGTGAGTAAGAGCTACTTTTCCTACTGCAATAGGAAGACAGTTATCTCAGTTCTTTTGCTCTATGGTCTCAGACTTTGTTGGTGGCGAGTTCATAGAAACAGTGTGTCAGGATGTTTTGTCAGATATAGCAAGAAGTGTTCCATGATGAGACAGAGAGAAAAATGACTCAGCAGCTTGCGAGAGAGCAAGCTGGTGATACATGTGGGTAAGTGACTGAAATAGTGACTTTCCCCTGCCCAACAAGACACACGTCTGTTAGAGTAAAGCAGTTAAACAGGTAAGTCAGCTAATTCTGTGCTTCACTTTGTGAAGAGCAGGAATTTAATACAATTTTAAAAGAAGCAGTAGTACTTGAGACAGCAAAAGACTAATGTGTGACTAAGGTTTCTACAGATGCTGTAAGGTGAAGTTAATGCTCAATTCTGGCTAGATTTATAAAGGCTGTGATCAGCAGGTGTGCCAAAATGGAGCTATGAGTTTTGAAGTTTAAGGCTGAATTCCAGGGTTTCAGGGCAGATACCATATGTGAGTGAGATTTGTAATAGCAATGCCAAGGACTTAACAGAATAACACTAACCACCCACTCCCCTTCAGAAAGCTTTCTTTTGAAACTGGATGCAATAGGCACTCAGGAAAGCACTGAAAGACTCCAGCACACAGAATAGCTGCTGAGAAATCTGCGAGAAATCACCTTTAGGAAAGCAAGACTGCAGCTAGCAGTGTGACATCTCAGGGTGGGGAATGGAAGAGGAAGAGATTACAGAAAATGAAAAGTTTCCACCTGGTGTGAAAATATTAATGTGAAGAATGCAGCACAGCAATATCTTGTGAGCACTTTCTTAGCACCTTCTTTTCAGTAGGTTGCTGGAGATTTGCTTTGCTAGTTTGCTCCCTTGAAAGTTCTCCAGGCTTCCATGAAAACAGGCAGATGTATCCTTTCAGGGCAAGGCAGTAAGGTGTTTGAGTGATCTTACCTTTGTGTCCTGAACCGTGGATGTACTGGATGGCTGGATGGGAAGCCTTGGGGTTCCTGGATAGAAAGCCTAAACTTGACATTCACTAAAGAGAGCTAGTTTCTAACCACTGTATCCTTGATAAGCAGCACATCGGTAGGAGGGCAAAATAAAAATTGCTCTAGGCTTGGAGAAGCTTTTGCATTACTGCTAGTCCAATTATTTCCTTTTTTACACATGTTCAGCAATCTCTTGCCTCTGTAATTACTGCACTGAACACTGCTACTATTAGATACAGCCACTAGACTTTCAACAAGCCCTCATTACTTGCACTTGCTATCTTATAATTTAACAACAGTGTCTTTGAGAGCAGTGTAGCTTCTCCCTCCTTCACAGCAAACTCACACACTTGTGTATGGACACTTGTGTAAGAGCTGGTTTGCTAAGGAACAGTGAAGAAGCCAAGGGCAGAGCTGCAGAACATGGAAGCAGATGCATGCAATGGTCCTAATTTTAATACTCTAGTGAAAAGTCATTCATTATATTGGTATTGGGCAAATTTTCCCTTTCCTTGAGGAATAGTGGCAAAGCATGCTGTCCCAGTAAAATCAAGCTTTAGTGTCAGGAAGTAAATTGCCAAATTAGAAAGCATGTAGATACCTGAAAGCCTCTGAGGTCTTATATTGATGTCGGATGTGAGGACAGCTCTGTGTGAGTTGGCCCTGAACATCTGAAGAGATGGGGAAGGCAGGTTGAGAAGGTTTGCCTTTTCCCAGCTTTTCCTCAGCTTGGCAGTTTCTTTCCTGTACTCTGTGCTCTTGTAATAGTGTTGAATACTAAACAGAGGTAATTTTGTGTATGTCCAGGCAAGCAGGATCTTGATGGGCCTGGCTACGTGATTAGCTGGTGTATTTTCTATGTTAACCTCAGGTGGCCAGGCAGAGCAGGCATTTAAAAACTCATCCGTCTCTTGTCTTACTATCTTTGAATCTGCATAATTAAAGGTGAATTACTTGCTCTATTTTTAATATATGCAATGAAAATGCATGAAAAGCTGAAAAATTACAGCAATCCAGTAATTCATTTCATGTCCCATTCAGAATTACAGCTTTCCAGTGCCAGCTCAAACACTGAAGATTCCCTGCCACCATAAAGCTATAATTGCTGAATTAATAACAGGAGGTTTTGGAGAGTGACTGCACAGAATCTCTGACCCAGGTAATAGAAATGCTCATGTTAAAGTGAAGTTGATACATGTGACTTAATCTATTTCATATTGGGCTCAAGTAGTGAAGATCATTGCTCTCCTTACTATAGGACGTTATGGGAACTGCAGCAAGGTATTACTTTTCAGACTCAGTTTAAGCCAGCTGTGTTAGCCAACAGGGATTAGAAATTAACTTTTCAGGGAACAGCCAGGCTAGTTTTTCTTCCACCAGAGGACTTGTACACCAGATCTGCTTGTCTGCTCAGCGCTTCTGGGAGGTAGAATTCTCCATCTGCTGCAAAGGCATGGAGAACAGTATGTAAAGGGAGATGGTGAAAGGCTTCTGCTAGCATTTCATTACTCCAGAATATTATTAATAACTAAAAAACCAATCCTTCCCCTGCACCTTCCAGTTCGGGAGCAAATTCTGCAGCTGCTGCTTCCCACAAATGTGTTGCCTCATGGCCCACGCAGATATGGTGCTCATAAGGACTGGGATAGTGTGAACTTTGTTTCTAAACAGAATAACAGGAAGTTAACCAAAGCAGTGTGATTTGAATGAAGAGGTACCTGTTTTTTAAAGGGTTACTTAGGCATTGGAGGGAGCTGGTAACCATTTGCCATGACTTCCTCATGTTGGGACCCTGATGCAGTGATCATTTGAACCTGTGGGACTCTCCGTTGATTTCAGTATATTTTATGATTCTTAGACATCAATATAATCTGATTCAAGTCATTAGAGATCAGCTGGCCCATGTCAAGTGGTCTGCTTGCACCAAAGTATTGATTTAATGAACTATTCATGTTGCTAAGCTCATCTGCAGAAAAAAAACAAGAGGTATGACCAGGCAGACACTGGACTTCTCAGCTCAGGATTATGTGCAGCACTAAAGATCTTTGCAATAGTTTCATTGAGATTGTATGTTCATTATGGATAAAAAGAACTGGCAGTTTCCAGGGCTGGCAATCTGGTTCCTTTCGTAAGAATTACCATCATTAATTAAAATCTCTCTTTCTGTCTAATTATTTCAGCTCTAATTCTCTTGCAGGTTCATAAATAGTAACTTCCCTTTGTCCTGGAAAAAAGTTCATTTTTTCTCCTTTTCTTTGTCATTGCCCTCATTCTCTGCCCTCTCTTGGCTTAAGGTAATTAAACTTTCAAAGTCTGGTCACCTCTCTGAAATATTTAAACATAATCAAAGAAATTTTCACGGGTGGTTTTTGCCTGCAAAGCTCCATGAGATTTTTGAATGCAAAGGCTGTGCTTTTCCCTTCTGCAAATAACTGCAGAAGAGGGGCCAGGCTCAGGAAGGGATCAGTTCTTTCCACTCTGGCTCACTAGTACACAAACCCTGTGCTACCAAGTGCAATTATAAAAGCAAGTATTTCAAGCCTTGCAGGCACTGTGAAAGGTATTTAACCTGATCTCTGTAATTGCTTCTTTGCCATTTAGCACTAAGATCACAGCATTTACTGTTGGATGTTGATAATTCTCTCAGCTGAACTTTTGCATCCAGCAGATGATTTTTGCAGAATATTCCCATGGAAGATAACTGAAATTTGTACATGCTTGAATGCCTACACGCAGAATAGCTTGGACTAACGAACATTAATGGAGAGGAGAAAAATCTTCCCAAAGCCAGATATGGGCAGCACTATTACCCAAAAGAGCTGAACAAGAGACCTTTCTATTTTGAGAAGAAGTCAGTATAAAAAGTGTTAAGGCAGAAGAAGATTCTGCTTTGGGCATCTTGAGGTTGAAGTAGGAGAATCTTTCTAGGCTGTCAGCAAGGCAATCATTTTTGAGGTCTCTATAAAATCTGCCTTTCCTGTGCAAATATTTAGCTTGCTGGCTGGTGTTTTCTTGAAATTTCCTTTATTAAGTGTCAAGTTTTGGTACCAGAAAATATCACACAGAGCTAAAAGTCAAAGTAAACCATTAATTAAATTTCACAAACTGATATACAGTGAAGGATAAACCAGAATGTCAGAGGCTAGTTTACATAAATACTATCCCTAGATCAGAGGCCATCCATACCTGTCCAGGGAAGCCCCTGTGCTTGCACCTTAGAGACACAGGTCTACCAGCCATATAGGCTAGGTTTGGAAAATTACTGGTATGCCCACTGGTTTCACCATAAAAATAGAAAATGGTGCCTGAATCACCACAAGGACTTGGGGAAATTCACTAAATGCTTTTATTTTAAGAAAAAAATATCCAGCTTCTTCGTCCAAAAACATAAAGATGCCAGTGGTACAAGGTATCATGTATGGGACAACTCTCAGGCTAGGAGGATCCGTCAGGCTGGATGTGGTTCTGGGCAACCTGATCTAGTTGAAAATGTCCCTGCTTATTGCAGCGGGGTTGGACTAAATGGTTTTTGAAGGTCTCTTCCAAACAAACTATTCTATGATTCTGTGATTCAGCACCACCTGCCAGTGTTGGAGTCTTGCCTTGGCCCAGTATGCAAAATCCTTCTGGTTTCCAAAGACAGTCTACAGTTTCAGCCAAAGCTTGCTGTTTATGGTGCATTTATAAGCAAGACTTCCAATAGCAACACTTTTAATAGCAGTTAGGCCCCGAAACAATGGTGTCTATCAAACCAATTGAATTCTGCTTAGAAGCAATTAGTTCTATGAGCTACAAAGACAACAGCATTTCTAGTCCCTGTGTCCTGCATTTATCTCCTGATAAACGGACAGCTTATTTGTCTAGTTACTAAGATGTCTTCATAAAATTTGTAGAAATGTTAATACCCTGACTACGCACAGATATACGTATTCAGAGAGGCTCTGTGATCATATAAAACTTTTTAAAAGCATAAAAGGAATCATTTTTTCTGGATATTTGCAGTGCCAGAAAGGAGCGGCAGAACTGGAGAGAAGGAAAAGTGCATGTCCACAGATCACAAGCAGGAAAGTCGGTATTTTGAAATACTTCGATGGTGACAAGAATGTTGTCTCCTCTCCAATGCTGGGTTTTTTTAAAGCTCAGTAGGCAGCAAAATGAAATGTTTTACTGTTTTATCAAGTGCAGCAAAGTCACTGCTATTATACTTGCAATTTCATGACCTGGTAAACCGATACCTTTGTGCTTAAGGGTCTAAGTGTCCGTGGTGTAGAAAACTGATGCTGCTGCTGCTTTGTGAAATAGAAACTGCATCACTTGATATTTGCCCTTGTAGAGCATGACCTTTTGGCTAGTGTTTTTAGTAAAATCAAGAATGAAGAAAACCAGTGAACAGTTAATCTGGAGATATATTTATATTTTTCAACGTGGGCTGTATGGAATATGTATTGCCTCTTCAAATACAGTGATTCAGCACCATATGCCAGTATTGGATTCTTGCCCTGGTCCAGTGTACAAACTTTCTGATTTCTTCAAGACAGAAAATACAGTTTCAGCCAAAGCTTGCCATTTATGGTGCATTTACAAGAAAACCTTCCAAGAACAGCATTTTAGCAGCTGGTAGATCCTGAAACAACAGTGCCTGACAGACCAATTGAAAACCTGAGTTTTCTTGGTGGGTGCGTTAAGCCATCTGCAAGTACTATAGATCCGGTGTAGCTAATTTCATAACTTGATCAGGGATATGAGAGAAATCTGGTTGTAGGAGAAGGGACCTCCTGGCTGTGAGTTTCCACAGAAATCTCTGATTTCACCAGTGAATGGTATCTTTATGCTATTCTTGCTGGTCTTATCTAATGTGTTATTGACGTTATTGCATTTGCTTTCAAACACAGTCATTAGAACATTTAATTTGCAGCAGCTGTAATTTATATTTGTAATTTTGTCTAAGATCAATAAAGGAAACTGAAGAGATTTATAGCCCTAGTTTCAACTAAGATAAATTGAAACGGACTCTATTTCCCTTAAAAGCTGTATTTAAACAGCATTTTAAAAGAACAAAATGAATTAGATATTTGCATGGGTAAATAATCCTTTGTGTCTGGAAGAAATGTTGGAAAGAGTGAACATGGTCAGTGTGTTCTTCTTTGAAATACAAATAAACTCCTGGGAGATGTCACCTTAGCATAGGATCTAACGGGGGTCAAGTAACCATTCCAAAATGTTTCTGAACAGCAGCAGTCAATAAATATCCTTCAGATCTGTTGCATTAATGCTCCAAAATAAGGCTGTAGCTGCATGGTTTAAATACTGTCAGGATCAGTCTGCGAGTGGAAAGCACAGACCCTGAAAGCACAGCTTGCTCTTATTTTACAGCAGTCCTTGAACATGCATTGCAGAAATGTGTTAATAATTTTTGAGCAGTCTGTATTCAGTTCTGAAATATTCATGTTCCAAGCACTGACTCGTGCATGGGGAAGAGCTGCCTCTCCCATGCAGCAGTTAGCTGAGGGATTATGCTGGGCAGAAGAGACGTGAGCACAGTCAGGCCAGCTCAGGGCTGCAGTACATTCTCAAGATGAGTCTTACAGAGGGAAGGAAGAAATGCCTAATGAACCTTTGGTCTCTTGCACAGCAGCAGCAGCAGCAGCATGGGATACTGAATCAGTGCCCCAAAGAGCTGGAGGCTGGGGATGGGGAGGATATCTTTGCAGCTGGCCCAATTTAGCAGCTTGTGGGTGTGCTCAGCCCTCAACTCTGAAGCCTTTCAAACATGGTGTCCTCGGGGAAGGGTGTATATTCTTTCTCCACCCAACATTAATCTGATTGATGCCTAATCCAGCTGCCTTTTGCCAATAGATTGCTGGGCACATGTTACTCTTGAGATGTAGAAGGCTTGAAATTTCAGCTGTTTTGGATAAAGCTCCATGTCCTACCATTCTGTGATCACCTGAAAGTGACACAAGTTGTACTGAAGGAAAAGATAATTTGTACTTCTCTGTGGCATGAAGAAGAAAGTTGCACAGTAAGACCTTGACCTCCTCTACCAGGCAGTTAGGTTTTTGATAGATTTTTCAATATCGTGATGGTTTGATTTGGGGATTTGCCAAACTGTTTCACCCTTTCTGGGTTTCATTTAGCTCAGAACCTGTGTTCTGAGCCTCCACTTGTCTCAGAGCTCCTGGATTTGTGGTATTCATGGGCACATGAACGTGGTTGGCATATGGCATGGTGAAAGGAAGGGAACAAGCTCATCTTCTGGCATTCTAGAAACATGCATGTCCAAATCACACTTGAATTCTGCAGGTGTTTATCCCTGTGGGAAGCAGTCCAAATGGAAATTGGGGCTTCTAATCTGTGCTGTTCTTGGATTGCAAGTGGGTGGGGGCAGGACAGGAAAACTCCCCATTTACTACATTTCCACTTGTCGCATCCTGTGAAGGTTACAGAGCAAGCAAGAGTAGAACCTGATCCACCTTTGTGCGCATGCCACATTTCATGAAGAGGATTCACCTTTGCATGCTGTCAAAGGCAGCTAAGTACTGTCGTGGAAGAGTCTCACTTCCTCCTTTTTATTATTGTGGCTGGTTGAATTCAATTAATTTAATTAAATTAATTTAATACATTTTTAATAGTGCAGTGCTGCCATCTCTACAAGTGCCTTGTAAACAACAATTTTTGCTGTAAGCAGTCAACCAAAGTGTCTAGTCATCACATGCATTGGATGTTACCATTATGATCTTGGACTTCGCGTGAATAATGTCTGAACTGCAACAAATTGCTATACAGGCCACAAGACCATAAAACCAGTAGTTATTTCTGTTCTTATAACTACTATGCATTATAATTGTATACACTTTAAGACAATTGCTAGGTATGCTGACAAGGGATTATGGTGCCAGGGCCAGAACAGAGATGGAGAAGTCGATGGAAGACAGGCCTTCTTCTGAGGACCTTCTTTTGCAGATGGCTAATGTAGAAGCAACTGTGTCAAGGAGAGGAAAAAAAGAGAGGCAAGGAGACACGCTCAGCATCACATGGTGAATCTCTTACAACGGAGTTAGTAGCCTGTATTCCTGAACCACTGCTAGGCTCACACCATTACCCTGTTCATCCAAACAAACAATACTGAAGCCCCAGACACTGTTTATTGTGTGCTATCAGTTCAGCTTGTCACTTCATCTATACTTTCTGTTACCCAGTGTTTTCCTTAGAATCTTCTGACAAAAGATTCAGGTGAAAGATTCCTTGAAAATGAATAGCTATTTGTGAGTCAGTGCATGCTATTGGATTTCACTCGCCCTGGGTTTTGGAGGAGAGAAATTTAGAAGGAGCAATAGATAACACAGTCATATTTAAATGACTGGTAGGTTAGTTTGAGGGCTTGCCAATACCATGCAATAGCCACGTATTCTGTTGTCAGCCTGCAAGACACTGTCTTCAAGCTTGAAGGGCTACAGCCTATATGGAGGCAGAATGGTCTGCACTTTTGTCATCTCTGACAGTGGGGGAGTTGATTTCCTTGCAGAAATTTGTTTGTATGTCCCTGGTATCTATCCTTTTGTGCTGAATAAATACTGTGTGGGAGTGCAAGAAAGGATGGCTGACTTTAACTGTGGTAAGAGAGTTCTGGTAAAGAGGATTTACTTCTACTAAGAAGGTCCTCTACTAAACATTAGCAGAGATGCTTTTCACCCCATCCCAGCACAGTCAAAGCATCTGGAGTGTCTTCTCCCCTGCACTCCAACTGATTTTGGGGGTAGAGGGTTGATCATGAATAAAACACTTCCGAATGTAATGCTCCCCTAAGATGTGCTGTGTTTTTTTCTCACCATTTTCATGGCTTTCACTGGTGGGTGAATACAACTTGGAACTGAGCTTTGGAGCCCATCACTTTATTCTGCTGAACAGCAGTGTCAGGAGTCACAGCTGCAATGTGGAGATTGGCAGCCCCCCTTGCTTTCATGCACCTTTCGTGTGGGGAGGGTGGCATAGCAGGAGTGGAGATACCTATCCTTGGCTTTTTCCCTGGGGTGAACAAATGAAAGAAAGGGGTGTTTAAGAGATGTGTGCTATTAAGCCAGCATTTCAAGTTCCTAAATAATAGGAAGCATTGTGAAGCTTCTCCAGGGAGGAGGCTCCTGGTGGTAGCTCTCTCTGCCTCCCTGCTGTGAGTCATTGTGCACTCAAGTTCAGAGGAATTGGTACTAAGGAAAAAGCACTGAGATAATAACCTTGAAAAATCAGAAGAGGAAGGGGGGGAAGGAAAGATTTATACACTGAAAAGAGCAGAACTGCCTTACCCTAAAAGCATTCTGTAAATGAGCTCCCATGCTTCCCAGCCTTTATCAAAGCCACTATCTTCTAAGGGTGGAGAGACCTGTGCATTGAGAATTAAGGACTTTACATGTTGTGCCACACAGCCTAAAGCAGTGGTTGGTATGCTGCCAGTTTGCAACATGACTCATTAAGGCAATAGAAATGTTTTTAAATCTTATGCTTGCAATTATAAGAAAGAGTACTTTGTACTGCCTCAGGAGAAATGGTGTGCTGTGATTGTCTTTCTCTAAGTGTGCAGGTCTCTAGTGTTAAGAACGCTAACCTCCATTCAAGCATGTTTTACCTTTCTAAGAGCTATAGACAATGCCATGGTGTATGGGAATTTTGTGGTGTTTGCTAGCTGCTGGGCCTTCTTTTCCTGGAGATAAACATCCTTTATGTTATAAAAAGAGCCCTTCAAGTTGCTGTTCTGATTTCTATTCCCTTCTACAGTGTTGCATGAATTTATTGTTTGTTAAAGGCTAACAGCCTGGAGACCTAAGCTCTTTGTTTATCCACAGAGTGAAATTCTTCTCGCTGTAGAGGGGATGCCAAAAGCACTAATTGTCAATGATACTGTTGCACTCAAGAAATATCCGTTCTCTATTTTCCAGCCACAATGATTTTGCCATGTGAAGGAGAACTCCTGGAATGGAAGTTGATTTGGACAATTTATCTGACAGAGACAGTGGGACTTCAGCTTGAGAACCTGGATGAACCCAAGTGAAGGTGAGGGGAAGAATGGTGGTTCTGTCAGATAGAGGATTTTTTTTTATGCCTTACCTATGCTCTAAACCCAAATGCTCTTTGCAGAGCAATCTTGAGAACTGGACTGTGCAGTGATCAGTATGATGACCAGTGACCTTTATTTAGATTGGATGTAAGGAAGAAGTTCTTTCCTGTGAGGGTGGTGAGGCACTGGAATGGGTTGCCCAGGGAGGTTGTGAATGCTCCATCCCTGGCAGTGTTCAGGACCAGGTTGGACGAGGCCTTGGGTGATATGGTTTAGTGTGAGGTGTCCCTGCCCATGGCAGGGGGGGTGGAACTGGATGATCTTAAGGTCCTTTCCACCCCTAACGATTCTATGATTCTATTTTGTCAGTAGGACCTATATAAACAGCTTCCTTGTGGAGTGAGTTCAGAGCAGTTTAAAACAGGGACCCCTTGTATGCACACACCTCCACATTAGGCATCATCACCATCAGTGTAGTACTCAAATGCCAAAGATTTTTTGATAATTTTTTTATTAATCTCAGTCAATTTAAAATTATCTAATGTACTCCAAATGAGCTGCTTTAGCTCCCTGCTTTCCTCAGCTCTCTATGGTTTATTGATAGGTATAGCTGGTATCTGCTGATAACTCATACCTCCTATCCTTAAGCAGCTAAAACTGTTGGTGATCCTATTGTCATTATCTTAAGGACATAAAGAAAGAGAGGGAGGAAGATCATGTAACAGAAAAATACTTTTCTAACCCTACATTGTTGGTTTTGAATATGGTCCTAACATATGACTCTATCACAGCTTGCAAAACAACCTTCCAAATGTGGAATTCATAGGAGATAGAACTATTTACCAACAACTTATGAAAAGTGATATTGAAAGGCACTTTTATTTATTCATTTCTTTCTGTAAAAAGAAGGTGATGCTGGGGGAGGGGAAGCAGAATTTAACAAAATAAGATAAATTTTGATATTTTCTTTCACGTTCTTTTAACAACCATTTAAGTAGACAGCATCCTCCAGGCTTACTCATCTCTGAAACCCCAGAAAGCAGGAAGCTTCCATTTAATCTGAGGAAATATAGTAACATAGGCAGTGTTTATTCTGTGGTAGAGCTCTACATGAACGGCTACAAGGCATCTTCTTGAGAAACGTGAAAAGCAGATTTATTTTAATTACATCAATTTATGTTCATTAAAAACCTCCTCAGTAACTGGCCCTGGTATTGAATTGTTTTCTATCTCTTCCTAATGCACTCAGACAATGTTTATTTAATTTAATTGACAGTAAGGGTGAATTTATAGGACTGTAATTCACACTTCCAGTGAAAAGAGAAAAATATTGTGGAACTATATTATTTGCTGCAAAAATGAGGTAGAGAAATTGTCTATTCAATTTTAATAGTTTCCCTCATCAGGGTCTCTTAATGGGGTTTCTTTTGCAATTACTCTAGGGCATTTGAAGCTGGCCATTGTGAGAACTTGCCAAACGACAATGAAATAAATCCAAATGTTAGAGGAGTTTTTAACAGTGTAACCTGATCACTTCCTTCTCTCGTTGACACAACTTCTTCCAGAGGACAAAATACTGAGTTTTGAAAAGACTTCTGTTCCCTCGTTTTTTTTTAACTAGAACTTCTGTTTCACCATTTCAGCACATGTTGTGGCTCTGGAATGAGTAATCAGAACACTTGTGTTTCCTGAAGGGCCTGTCTGGATCACAAGTAAGAAAGGTGCCTCTAGCTAAACTGTTCATAATTCTTGCTTAGCCTTTCTATGCTTGAGTCTATGGAAAATGAAGTCTTCAAATAACTTGATCTAAAAGCAAAACAAAGGAAAAAAAAGAAAAACAAACCAAAAAAAGGAAGTCCTATCACCCTTCACCATCCCTCCTATTTTAGGAGGCTTTGATGCGTGAAGGTGCTATATCCAAACGATAAGGGAAGACTGGTTTTATCACAACCCACACCACACAGTACTTCTGAGAAGCCTTGTAAGGCTAAAATCAGTGTTGCCTCCTTCCACTGAAGGGCAGCAGCTGTCTTCTTATCACTCTCTTGCTGGTGGACTCCCATGATGGAGGAGGCAACTGGTTTCTGCCCACTTCCTTCCCAGGAGCAGCCAACCTCCCCTTTTGGTGAGTTCATCCTATGGTGCACATCACAGGCGTGGGACTGGCAGTGGGTTAACTGGGACGTCTTCCTCCTGCTCTCTCCTCGTGGGGTGTATGAGCCCTGCCACAAAGTGGAAAATTCCCCCGAATCCATCATGTACAGAACCTCAGTGAGCAAGAGACAACAATGTGTAACCTTTGAGTTGTTTCTGTTAAATCCTCCTGAATTATGAGATACTTTTTTGAAATCTGTGCTTTCATGGATTGTGTAGCAAACAGTTTAACCTGGACATGTTTCAAAGTGGTCCTGATCTTTACAAGGAGTGAGCAACCAACCACAACAAAGTCATACCAGTTTGAGGACTTTCAGGAGGGAGAAAGGGAGGAAGGGAGAGAGGGAGCCGAAGATATTTCTATGGGACAGTGAATTACATTAAGGAATAAAGTGGGATCTGACCACATAACCTACATGCTCATGGGGAGGCATTCTGTACTTAAGCTCCAGGTTTTAAAGAAATTGCCCTTTGCAAGCTGAGGTTGTCATTGAGATGACAAAATTTCTTCCGGTACTATAATAAATAAAGGTAAGTATGACATTAGAAATTAATAAATGGAGTTTATTTGTCCAGACAATCACCCTTCAGTGTAGAAATCAAAGGCACCAATGAACTTTAGCATCACTGTGTGAAGCTATTACAATGCACTGATTATTATCACATCTCAATAAGTTCCAGTAATGTGTAAGTAGCATCAACAACAGCTATCACACAATTTCACTGGGCTTTCAGATAAGTATCTAGAAGTATAACCAGGTTTTAGAGGTATAAAGAATGCAATTACCATTTTAATATCTCTCCACAGGGAAAAGGAAGATTAATTTTTGTAGGTCTATTTTCCTGATTTTTCTCATAGGCTGGGAGATAGGTAAAAACCTGGTAACAATACACTAGAAATAAATAAAGTGCTGCTGATATCTAATTAAAGGGGCACAATTGGATAACAGAATTATTGGGAAAATCAAAATCTCTCATACTTTGAAATCATGCTGTACTTTTGTTTGGGTTTCCAAAAAGAAAGGTGAAATTTTGATAATATTGACTCTTGTTTCATAATGAAGTTTCTTAAAGCAGCATTTCCATAGCAAGTCAGACATCCAGAGAACAGGAAAAAAATATTCCTTTCCTGTTAGGCTCTATTTATTGTTATAACACTTTTTGAGTGTATTTTTTACCTGTCAATTTCTGTATTCTAATACAGGAATATAATGTGTTTTATAGCTTGATTTCCAGCTCATTCGCTGCTTCCTGATGAGGCTTGCAGAGTTGGTCCAATAGAAAATGAATTTAGTTTCTAAACACTGTGAATACATGACTACTTTATTGAGATCCAGTGTAAGAAAAGAGGTATAACCTGGCAAATCTACCAGAACTGGGCTTACTCTGGGAAAAGCAGTAGTGTTTTGGCACAGAATCAGCAGGAGATTTGCTGCAAGCGGCTGGTGACCTTCTCTTTTCCTTTATAACTTGAGCTGAGCTGAGCATTTGTAGCTGTGCTACATCTGGGAGGTGGAGGGGGGGAAGATGTATCGTCTGCAGTCTGCACAGCAGTGTGCAGCATCATGTCAAAATCAAGATGGACTTGATAACTCTAATTAGTATTATCTCCCTATAGCAGGCTCCCAGGGATGTTGCTAAGATGCTGTGTGAGTCGGCAAGGTGGCAGAACAACAAACGGCAATCGGCAAAAAGAATAGAAACAAACCCTTTAAAGGGCACGTTTCACATCTTTCCTGTGTCTCAAGCATTAGAGATATTGAGCTTATATTTTAGACTGGAGATAAAGTCATGGAAAATCCATGACTTTTAGATCTTGCTACACATTAATCCATTCACCAGGCAGCAAGTTTTAAAGTGGGTTCAGGCTTGAGGCGACAGACTGATCTCTGCAAGCAAGAGAAAAATCACAGCGGCTGTGCTGTCACATTCAGCCCATCACACCTCCGACAGCTCCCTGCAACAGGAACAGATAGGTGGCAAATCTTAATGACCCATTAATATAACTGGCCACATTTATATAAATGCTAGGAGCATTGACATCTCCTGTAGCATGTTCCTGAGGTGTCAGGAGTTGTGCCTAAGGTGTTGAGATTGTTAGAGGCATTGCATGGTATTTTCTGGTTTGGGGTATGTGGGGTGGGTGGGAAGATGATGGGTGCAAGGTAAATATACTTGAGGACCTCTGGAATATTTATCTATGTTTGACCAAACTGGACTTGTCTAGGGGTAATATAAAAGCCATAAACTTCTTGCCAAGATAACCTTAAAACTATAAATAGTCACAGCTGAATGAAGTCCTTCAATATATCTGTATGCAAAAAACCTCTGTAATTTAAAACCAGTCTTACTCTATTGTCTCTCTTTGAGGAGCTAGATTTATGGCCACTCCATTGGCATCGGTTGTAATGACAAAAGTATAATTTAATGACATAAAACTAGTTTTATCTTCCTGGCTCCTTTTTTCCCCCTTTATTTTTCTTCTAGCAAAGAGGATAACACCAGGTCCCCTTTTACTAGTAATCAACACCCACAATTTGAAAGATGGTATTTCTTGGCAACCTTTTCCTGCTGTTGCTTTTTCCCTAAGCATTGATATTAAATACTTAAGAAGAAAACTATTTCAACAGCCTGTTTTCCAAAGTGAAGTGGGGAAAGAAGGGATTTTTTTTTCCCCACGTGTTGCCTTCAGAAACACGATTTTGTTTAAAAGCATGTATCCGAGTTACCCAAAAGTTCATTTCACAGCATCAGCGGTCAAAGAGACCTCTTGTGAGAGCCAGAGTTGCAAACCACAATGTTTCTGAGAAGGGTTAAGGCCCCAGTTACTCACCCACCCACACCTGCACCACCATATAGGTTGTCCCATAGTTCTCTTTCATCAAATCAGGGGGGAGCCACTGCCATGCCTTGGGTATGCCAGCAAGGAGCTTGTTTGCATCTAAATACCAGGATGGCGTGAGAAGGGATGCTTTTCCCATAAAATGTCCTAACTCTGCCTGTGGGTAGTCATCCTGCCCTGACAATTTAGTGTGTTAGCTCTGCTGTCTTGCAGCAAATTCCTCTCTCTGCTGGTGCCAGTGATGAGCTGCCTTCTACACAACTGCATCTCCATACATCTTTTTAGGAGTTGGATTTAGTGATCAGTAACAGCCCCCTAACAGGGCTGACCATCACAGGCTCCTTGTGGAGCTCACAGTTACCTTATGCACAGGAATCGGAGCTGCCAAAGCATTGCAAGGTGGGGGGGGGCTAGTGAGAACCACAGACTTTGGTGTGACTTTGGATAAGTCCCTTGCCAGGCCTCCCTGTCAGCTGAAAAGTAGAAATAATACCATCCTCCTGCTCTACAGAGGTTTGCTCATGAATGCCTCTTCCTTTCAGGAACTACTTGAATTTTACTTAGTCTCACACAATTAGCTAAAGCAGACAGACAAAAGCTGATGGGTATCCCTTGCATGAGTAGAATTACATGTTTTGGTAATGCTGAGTACTCAACAGCCCAGTCCAGTCACTTGCATAGAATAAAAAGAGCTGGTCTTAACTGCTTGCACCATAGCTAGAAAAGCAGATACTGGATATGCTCAGCAAGTCTTTATTTAAAAAATTAAAATTAGAAAAGCTAGACATACAAGAGGAGTATGTAATTTCTATTTAATTTAAACAGACCTTTAAAATCCTTCCCATCACCGGTATTGGGGTTTTAATCATGACACAGATCAGCACTGTGTCACTGAGGTTTTCCAATCGGCACCTGCCCCTTGGGGATCTCCATCACCCCTAACCTGCAGTATGCAGCTGTGGTACCAGTACTGCTGGTGGGAGCTGCAGCTGAAGCACAGAACTGCTCTGCTATAAAAGTATGAGTAGTGGGATTGCAGCTGTATAGCCCTCCAGCTACCCTGCCCATATGCATTTAAAATGCATTTGTTTCCATCATATTTGTGAGTCAAGTTGATGGCATTTATAGGGCAGTAGCTAACCAGGTACTCTCTGAAGCAGGAGGTGAATGGAAGCATATTGGTCTCAGCTATATATAAATTCATTATTCATTTGAAAGGGGCAATAGTCTTGTTACTGATAGAAAGAAGGGTTTTCTTGCAAAGGAAAAGGCATTGGTGGTTTTTTTTTTTAAGGATGAGGACCAGAAGGAAAGGAATAGATCCTTCTGTTTCATGTGTGTTGCCTTACAGATGTGGGAAGTGTTGGCATTCCACAGAAAAGTCAGAATTTTATGCCAAAATCCAGTACTTCAGTTTATTTATTTACTCAAAACAAAAGCTATACATCAGAAGTACCTCTGGTAGAAATGTGTCTTCAGCTATCGTCACATGGAGACAGGAGATACAGATGAAAAATTCTCTGACCAACTGTGTTTTATTTTTTTACCTTCATAGGAGGTTGTGCTTTAAAGAGAGCTTTGACTTATTACTGGAACAGAAAATGCGTTTGTTGAAACCAAAAAAGATGGGAGAGTAGAAAAAAAAACCTCAGAAAGCTCTTCCAAAATCAAAAATTGCTCTCTGTGACTGCTTCTGTGGGCCCCTTTCATGTCCATGTCCTCTGGACATTTGAGCAGAGAGCGAGGCTGACACAGAGGCTGGGGAAGAGCAGTTTATGCTTGAGTTTCACATCCCTCGGCACTGTGATGGAAATCACGTGTGAGTGGGGCTGGCCAGGTTCATCACTGGGCTGAGCATAAGAGAAAAGTGCCACGCAGCTGAAATAAATAAGCATGGCAGAGCAAATTCTGACAGTTACGCCACAGCAATTTGAATTAGACAGAACTTTGATGTCTACAAAGCTGGACTTGATATCCCGGTGGGAGCAGGTTTTCCCATTATGTGTTCATTTAAGAATTTTTTTACTTAAGGTTGGGCAGAAATAACACAGAAATGGCTTTCTGACAGAGTCATACGCCTGCTTCTGAACTCCCAGGGAACAGAGATCTAGCCAGACAAAAAATGTGACTCTTATTCCTTGCTTATTTCTTTATTACTTAGGGGTGCATTTGTGTGGAAAAGGTTCATTTTTGAAAAGTTATTCTATATCCTCACTTAGTTACAAACCACAATAAATACAACTTATAAAATGAGGAGTACATTTTCAGATGGTGCAGAGGTTTTGCTGCATTGTACGTGTGGAGGTTCCGTCTTAGGTGGATGTAAGTGCAGGTAATAATCTGTGAAGAAGGTCAATGTAGAGGAGGCAAGGTACTTTTTAATTTACACACTTATGTAGCTTGTGGCAGGTGTTGAAGCTGGCATCACTGATGAAGGGAAAACACAGAAGAAGTGGGAAGATGTCTGGTATAATCAGTTTTAAGTCATGCACTTGAAAATGATACAGCGTGAAAAGCAGAAACTTAATACAGAGAATTTTATACTTCAGCAAGAATGCTCCTACCCCTGCTGATGAGCTGACATTTGCGGTCAGTTATTTCCCAAAGGTAATGGCAGTTTTATAATTAGGCCCTCAGTTAGCAATGCCTTGCTGCTCATGCCTCACCCCATACAGATTTGCAGTGTGGAGGTTTTCAGTTGTGGGTGTGATGTTTGACATGCATTGACCAGAAGTAACTGGAGTAAAGGAAGAACTGGGATTAGGGCAAGTGTGTTTGTTCAGCACTGAGGCTTTTTGAATTGGGCTTCTGCTTCAGTGAATTCTTCAGGGTCGTGAAGTGTTCATTAGATGAATGGGAATATGTATGTTTGCAAGAAGACCTTTGTCACCCTGGGATAAAGCGTGACCATGTTGCCTGGGGATGCAACAGGAATGGCCTCTTGCCTCCCAGCTCCCCTGTTGTGCTGGGAACACTCACAGGGAGAAGTGCTGTCCAGGAAATGCTTTCTCATCATCCAGAGTTTTCATTCAGCAAATGGCTTGTGTGGAGTGAAACCTTGCTTTCCAGTGCCACAAAACAGAAGTGTGTCAGGAGGTCTCAATTGCAGAGTGCCTGGCACTGCAGTGCTCCTCTCTGACACGGAGAGTCAGCAGTGGTAAAGTAGGATGGAGTGCATCAAGGTGACTTTTCCCTCTGTCACCCTTACAAGTGCTGTTTCCTGCTAAAGTCCCATTCTTGGTATCTTTTCCAATGACAATATGACCAGCTTAGTGAGGTTTTCTCCAGAATACTTCTTACTCTGCCCTAATAAGACTCTTTTCCCTAGCTAGGGCATGCCATTCATGAGTAGTGGGAAGACTGTTCTTCATAATCCTCAGTAGCAGAGAAGCTCTTTGGACTTTACTGACCAACAGCAGAGATAGAATCATAAATGCATTATCAGGCAGTGCCACCTCGGTGAAGCTCATGATAAACAGAAGAAAGGGAAACAGTGAATGATTTCCATTGTTTCATACTTAGATTTCCAGAAAGACTCAAACAAAATATGCTGCTGCTTTTCTAATTTTCCTAAATTGTTTGTCAAGTTGTGGTAAACATAAAGGCATGCAGAGGTAAATTATTGGAACATTTTCTCTACGTTTGCATGCAGAGATGTACATTTAAATGAGTGCACATATGTTTGTGCACATGCATGCAAATATATAGACGTACATGCATGTGCTTGTGTGGATGTATACACACATATGTATGTTCATGCATACAGGCAAGAAAATAATTTTCCATAACCTTCTCTTGTTTAACAATAATACTGAACTACTGGCATTCAACAATCTAAATCCTCAAATGTGTTGAAGAAAGGTAGATTTTAATGGTGTTAAATGAACCATTTAGCACAGAAGGCCTCTTACCTTCAGTGGCACACTCTCAAAATGAAATCCAGTGTTCAGATAGAATAATAAAAAGACGAAAAACAATATTACCTGTTTAAAGAGAATATAAAATCCAATTAAGTTCTGAATTTTAATTCGCTTGCAAGCATGGGTTTGTTGCTCTGTGAAAAGAATGAAAATGGAAATGACATTTCTGTGTGTTATCTACATAATCCAGAGGCTAGAATATCCTGTCATGCTTATTTTGTCTAGTGATGATAAAACTAAACAGTTTTAACTGAATTTCCTGTAAATGGGCAAATAATCAAAAATGAACATCTTTATATTTTGATCTATCATTAATTTATGTATAAATGCTGTTATAAAGAGATTAGCTTTTATGAAAAGAATGATTTTTGCCTGGCATCTGACAGCAACGATGGGCTGTAGCATGTGAATAGCTGTGGGTGGAAGAAAGCTGGACTTCTGAACCGTGAATTTACCAAAAGAGGAGAAGGGGGAAGCTCCAAAATCAAGAGGCCCATATGGCACCAGCCATTGATATGCAGACACAGACCATTGTGTCAAGTGTCACTACGACCTCCTAACCCCTCTTGTCCCTAAATGCAGTGGATCAGTGATGGTCATTTGCTAAGTTGTGTGTCTTACACGAATTGGTAGTACATACTGAAAGGTGGCAGAATGAAGAGGTGGTGACCTGAGGATGTGGTAGGAGGCTGCACAAGTGAATTTGTTTCTTTCTGTTCCAGCCATGGCTGAGGCAATAATGTCATTGCAGTAAACTCGGCTTCCCATTACCACTGACTATTCCTGCTTTTCCTTCTTTCGTTAGATTCACTTTATTTAGACTAAACCTAGAAAAACATCTCTACCTGGACTGTAAGTATCCAAATCAGCAATTACATTTGTATTTACATAAGGCTGTCACCCACTAGTTGTGCCAAGCAAAGAGAATATCTGGGGATAAAGTAATAGCAAACCATACCTCAGTTCCACCGTGCCTCTGAAGCCTGGTGTTGTCTAGCCATGCCTCACCCTGTACCTATGTTCTTGCCCTCCAAGGAGCATTGCTGCTTCCAAAATAAGTCAGCACAACATCAGATACCGAGAGCTCAGAAGAGTTCAGAGGTTTGGTTCTTTATTTGGGTATTAAATAGATTGCTAGAGAAAGATATTTGACCAAACTTGTAATTGGGTAGCACAGGATATACCTATGCGAGTGGTACCTGCAGAGGAGTAGACAGTATATCCAGGCTGATGTAAATCGGGTTATTCTCAGAGAGTAACTTTTTGTAGGGTTAAGAAAGATAATTTAAAACAGGCAAAAGGCAGAAACACCCAAAGCCACATTATTTTAACAGACCTTTGTGCCTAATGGTGGGATTAAGCATTCAAACAAAGGAGTTTGTTGGGTATTGAGCAAGATCAGAAATTCTTGGTGCCTGATTTTTAAATAGCAGTCTCTAATGGTGGGTGTCCAGTCTGGAATATCCAGCCCTCCAGCGTCTGGGAAATCTGCTCCTTCAGAAACAGAGAGCCTGTTTACATGAACTCCAGGGTTTTATATTAGATCCAGAAGAAATTATTAAGTTGCTCATGTGACCTAAAATTGCACAGAAAACACGACAGTAAAACTACCAGACCCTTCCTTTATCCTCCCCCTAAAGCAGATTTATTTGGTTTTCCACTTTTTTTACAAGCTATATGAATGGCTCCCAGCCTTTAATCTCACTACAGATTTTGCCATCTTTGAACTGTTTATTACATTGCAGCACTATGGCAGGGATGAGAACAGCATTACCTGAACCCAGATTCTTCTGCACTTCACAAAGTTATGCACCCTGTTCTACATTGCTCCAAGTTCAGAAAGTTGACAACTTTTATGCCTCTTCATGCTCTGTAAAGTATTAAAGGACAGCCAGGTAAGTTTTAGATAGAAGCAAATACAAACTTGTCTGTATCCAGGATTGCTTTTATATTATTTATATTGTCACTACCATGGTCTTACAGCACGTCTCTTATTCAAGGTCATGTTGCCTCTGAAAATGATAAGAATTAATTAAAAGTGTATGCAGAGATATAATATGAAACATGTTTAGCATGACAAAGCTAACACTGGGGGATTTTAACCTTGCTTCATTTAAAGCCTCAAAACCAATCTCAGAGCTTCATCTCAGTTTCTCACCAGCATTTTGTTATGCAAGAAACATCACCTTCAGTATCTTGTATGAAACCACCTGCTGTTGTTCAGCCCTTCCATATTCACCTCCTTCATGTCTCTTCAAGGGTTGCCCAGCATCTGTCTCAAGGCACTACATGAAAATTAGCCACATAAGTTTATAAACATTATATAAATCTGTTTCCATAAAAATAAGGGTATGAAAAATCTGAAAAGCTATGATGATGCAGATACAGTTTCCCCCAGTACTTCAGTGCTGTTTTTTTTCTTCTTGTCCCTAAATGTGGTGCATCGCAGCAAACCCAACCTGATGCAATCAGTAAGCAAAACTGCTTTGTAAGCACTTCTCCACTGTTTGTGCTGCTGGAATTGAAGGGCTTTATCGTGCCTTCATTTTAAAAGCCAAACCCTAAATTCAATCAACAAAAGATTAAACGGTGCCAGTGCTTTCTGATACTGCTAAAAAATGTCATCACTTACGAGTTATTTGTGTTTGAATATTGAATCCCAAAGGGGTGGTAGCTATTTTTTGTAATTCTGTGGAGATGGAGTAAATGGTTATGAATAGCACAGTCATAGAACAGGATTGATTATTAAGCTCCATTCCTTTAAAACCACCTCAGTTTGACAAAGGCTCTTGCAGCAGGACTAGTCCATGTACCATTACTTTTGAGTCCTAACTCAAATACTGCACAGAAACAAGAAGGTCTGGAAGGATTTCAGAAGAGCTGTTTGCTGTGTACTGCTTCACATACTGTTTTCGCTACAGAGACTGCAAGTCCCCAAACTGTTTGTGATGACACAGTTTGTACAAATGGCATCTCAGTCCTGAGCACTTGCTCTGCAATCTTAATGGTCCTTTCCAAGAAAGAGCTCTAATAGTTCATTGAAATTGTGTTTAGTCTGCAGGCCCCCTGGAGCTATTATGAATGCAATTAACGTCTCCAGATCAGGACAAAAATGCGAAGGACTCTATGCTGTATTGACTTAATATATCATAATGGCTCTGTCTGGGCCTGGATGGGCTATTATTCATCCAAGAGGTTTGGTGCATGCTCCAGTTGCACCGTGCAGCTTTTGGCATAACTTCAGGTCCTGCAGGAAGGACAGGCTTGCAGTGTGCCTGCTAGAACAAAACCCAGGAGATTCATCCCAGCTAACAGCACTGGAAACAGCGGCTCTTGTTTCCCTGTAGCCTTTGTGGGTGAGTGGTTTTAAAAGCAGCTCTATGGGCAAAGCCAGCTCCTAGTGCATCGCTGGCTCTGTTTGTTTGCTGGTCCTGGGCACTTGCCCATTCCTTGCTGGCTCCTGGATCCCTGTCGCTGCCCACAGGAGCACACGTTTCTGTTGCTTGTGCGTACACTTACAGATGCCACACAAAAGTCTGCCCAGGGTGAGGCAGACCTACTGGCATCTCAGCCCTTCTACTAGCACAGGTCCAGGCTGGCTGTCCAGGATCTCTCTTATAATAACTGGGCACCTCTGGAGTGCCCAGTTCTTTATCTAACCTCAGACTCTCAAGACCTGCAACCAAGATACACATTTCAGTGCTGATGGAGGAGACGTTTCACTGTCACACGTTTTGATTGCATGCTGGGCAGTAAATGCAGAGCACTCCATGAATTGTGATTATTTCCAACCAGTGAAGCCTGATTTCAATCACGTGTTTTCCTGATTTTACAAAATGAACACTAAAGCAAATAGATAAGCTAAATCTATGTTTTTATCTCGCAGTCTCCCAAGTGCCTGAGGCAGTCTCAGGTCCAGTGGCTGAAGTTAAGCTAAATATAAGCACTGTGCAAATGCAGAGTAGGCAGGGAACAGCTTCTCTTCTGAAGTCCTACCACTGTAACTGGCTGTGCAAGGGGGAATCCTTTTAAATGCCAAAGAAACAATTTGCTTTGAAATCTCCATCATCTGTGTTACCTGCTCTTTTAACCCATCTATCCATTCATTCCACCCTGGAGTTTCAGTGGCACACCATATCCTCCCAGTCGAGTTCAGGTGTCAGATTTGAAGCATCAGCTCCTGAGTTCTGCTGGGGTTTTAGCTGCTGGTTTTTTGGTTTTTGCTTAGGGTTTGGGCTATTGTGTGTGTGTGTTTGTTGGGATTTTTTTCCCCAATGAAAATTGAGTTATATACATGTAAACCACACTGTGTTCATATATAGTACAAGAACAAGGAAAATAAGAGGTTCATTCAATTAATTGTTTATACAAATGACCTGTCTCCATTCACAGTGCTGCTTTTGATATGAAAACATAGAGTTAACTGAAATATTGCTACAGCTACATTTCAAAGAAAAATGAAGCAATCTGAGGTCTTTGGTGCTCTTCAGATTTGCACCATTTCAGGGCTAAGTGCTATAAACATCTATGTGAAGGTAGGGTGTGATTACAGAAGAAGTCTTTTCCACGTGAATATATATGCTTTTTTTAATGCCACTTCAGTGGGTTTTCACTTTAATTCTAGAGTTGTACTATTTAGGCAGAACTTCTGGAATTTATTTCAAAAGAGCCATGTGATGCCTTGATTCTAACATACCTAAAAATATAATGTTCAGCTTAACAATGTGCAACTTCAATCTGAACATTAAGCTCACCTGTCTCAGAGCTCAGCACATCCCTAGGTGAGTGCAAGCTGACACAGTTTTATCTTCTGTGAAACACCCTTATTTTTCCTTACCAAATGCAGACTAAAAGGCAGGCTTCCCACAGAAGTTGTGATCAGAAAGGGATGTGTCAGCTGTTATCTCCAAACTTGCACTGTTGTAATCACAACTGCTTGTACGTGCCGGAAGAAATAGGGATATTTACAGCTTTTCAGTGCCGCCAGAAGGAAACAATTACAAGTGAAATACAAACATACAGTCACATACACAAATATATTAAAAAAGCACAAAAACATGCACAGACATGCATGTTCATACTCATAGATAAACAATGCCAACAGAAACAAGCAGAAAATGTGACTGCAAGCAGAAAATATTACCAAAGAGGCAGAAAATAAACCTGCATAGAAGGACTGGGGACAAAGCAAGTGTCTCGAGCAGGAGTCGTAGTAGCAGCTTTTCCATTCCAGGCCTGAGAGTAGGCATGTAAAGGTAAACCTACACCAACAGTTCTGGTTCTGGGCTAGGAAGTAGCTATATTTACCCTTTGTGCACTGCGCTCTCTCTCACTGAGACAGATAAAGCCAGGAAGAAGGTTTTGTGTTGATGGAGAAATATTCCACAGTGTTTTCCTATTTCTGATAGGAACAAGGTGCTGGGAAATGCTGCTGTGTTCAACCATATTAATGCTGGAAGCAGGATGAATGGGTCTAAATGGAGACCAAATTTTGCCTTCTAAGGGTGTGATATCAGCTGTGTGTGTGTGATCTCTAGGTGTTGGGACTCTCTGCTTCCATCCTTTTTGCAAATTCACATATCCCCTTGTCTTATTCCTGAAATTGCACTGAGTGCATCATTACATGGTCTGACCAAGTCATATTCCTTCATAAGCACAGTAAATACCTGCATTTCTTCTGACAATGAGGATAGTCTGAATTGCCTAGGTTTATTCCTGCTAGTTTTTCTTTGTCTATATTCTGCTTGAGAAATCAATACTCAAAGGAGCAACCTGTGTATCTCTGGCTTACATGCAGTTCCAGCTGAACGGCATTAGGCTTCTAGCAGAAGGATTGAAAGAACAAAGAAAAAGGTTCATTTAATTTACCTTAAAGGATAGATAATTTTTCAAATAGAGACAATCTGAAAAGCACAAAGCACTATGCCAATATCTTGGTCACTCTCAAAAATAAAATTCAGTCTTTCTTGGTAGGAAAATAAATGTCAATACTATGTATAATTACATCCAGGAGCAATTCTGCAGCTAATTTTGTAAGAATTGATATGCTGCTATATTGCATTCTTATGAGTATTGAAGCGTTAAACATTCAGGCCCAGGCCAGACTTGGCCTAACACCAGACTGGTCATTTGCCACGTACCTAGCAGGCTGACCAGTACACAATAATAATCAGAGCTGGCACAGAGCTTAAACATTGATGTTCACTGGTGGCCTGAACAGAGTTCACAATATTATGGGCCAGAAATACAGACTTACACAGGGCTGCAGGTTTAATGAAACCAAGAACCGAGCTGGACAATATGAAACAATTTACATTAGATATTAGGAAGAAATTCTTCACTGTGACAGTGGTGAGACATTGGCACAGGTTGCCCAGAGAAGCTGTGGCTGCCCCATCCCTGGCAGTGTTCAAGGCCAGGTTTGATGGGGCTTGGAGCAACCTGCTCTAGTGGAAGGTGTCCTTGCCTGTGGCAGGGGGTTGGAACAAGATGAGCTTTAAGTCCCTTCCAACTCAAACCATTCTTAGATTAGAAAAGAAGCTGCCTTCCAATCTAAAGGCCATTAAGTAGCTGATAAATGGATGTTTCTATGAGTACGATTTCATGGTGGATGCTAAATTCAAAGCAATGTCTTTTTTTGAGTGATGATGAAAAGTATCTTCATTATGTACAAAAGTGACTGAGAGTGACTTTGTGACAAATATGCATAATGGATTACCTGTCTATCAAAAGGATGTGTCCAGGTAGGCTTTATTCAGACACGTGTGATAACCTCTTTTTAAGTGCAGTACTACTCTATCAGCTGTGGTATAGTGGATTATTTTGATTGTCCTAATACGCATCAACTAAGCACTGCTGTTGCGCAGTGTCAGTTGTGGCCTCTGCTCCAGGAATCACTCTCTAAAATGAGCAAACAGTACTCCTGGCAGGCCTCAGAAGAAATTAGAGATACCAAAAACTCAACAGAAAAAGGGTGTCTGCTGTGCTGGATGACCCCTATTCAGGCATATTTACATGTAAGCCACAGCTAGTTATTATAATGACTCGTGCAGAAACTGCCTGCCCTGCATAGACTTTTCCAGCCTGATGCTTCTGGGTACTGCTGCTGTTAACAGCTGGTCAGAGCGTACTTTGTACGTGTGCTGCTCCTTTAGTGGTCCTTTTGCTCTGGTTGTGCAATGCAATCTCTGTCTGTAGTATTTGCTCTGTTCACTTACAGCTCCTACAAGGTAATTCACTTATTTATTTCTGCTTGTACTGCTGGGAATGAGGACTAATTGCTATCAGAAGATCTCATTACTCTTTCTGTAGCACATCAGCTGGACATCCAAGACTCCGTTACCTAGCGAAACCACCTGCTGATGAACTGAACCTTTTATGTTAACAAGATGGCTTCATAGCAACACTCCTACTGTGACTACAGTGACAGGGCATGTTTAATGTTGGGATCAAAATGGCACTGGGCCACTTGGTGAAGTCTTTGCTCAAGTAACCACAAAGTGGACAGTGAGGTATTTTCCTTGTAGGACTGAGAAAGACACAGGAAAGGAGACGTGTGCTTTGGGCACAGGGGGCTGCTTGGCTCCAGCTAGGCTCAGTGGGGGGGCTTTGCCAGACACTACTCAGAGCACTTCCACTTGGCTTCTGCTCCGAGCCAACCCTGAGGGGTTTGCTGCTCCCCCTGGACTCCAGTGGAGTCCATGCCCTAAAGCCTTTGAGAACCTTCCTTGTGACCTCTGGCTTGAGCAACAGGGAGTGTGTAGCTAAAAAATTACATCCGTGGAGCCTTCCCTGAAACCTGGAGCAGCAGAAGGATGGCCCGTGGGGTTTTGTTTCACTTGAAATGTGCTCTTCACCAATTCACATAGTTTCCCTTTGACTTAGCATATCCTCTTCAGCTCTCTGCAGCAAGCAGGTGTTTCTCCATATTTCCAGTCTGTGAACTTAAAGAAATTCTAAAATAATTCATCATTTTATAAATAAGTTATACAAGCTGTCACCACAAATCTGTCACCATGCAGACAGGTGCAAACATGTGCAGTATGAAGAGAAAGATACTGACACTCAGATCAGAATAAAGGCCATCTAAAAGCAATTACATTTCCAGGTATTAGGCAAACACAATTATTTAAATTGCTAGTCAAAAACAGTTGATAAAATAGATAATTAAAAAAGATTGACCTGAAAGTTGATTTTAAATTATTCTGTAACGTGCACACAACTCATATAATTGCTCTCTCATGATCCAGCCTCCATTGAAAGGAAATTTCACCTTGGAAAAAAAATTATATATGCAGCACATGGTGATTAAAATAAGTGTTTATTCTCTGAAATACTGGAAATGATGTGAGGAATTGTGTTGGAAAGTAGGGATGAATTAGCCCTGCATTGCAAACTGTAGTGTGGTCTGTCGTTTTAACACTCAGGAGGTGTTGAGATAGAAAGTATGATAATACAATAAACCACAGAAAGAATAGATGACCTATTGTATGCTGATATACAAGAATTAAGCTGGGAAAAGAGTGAAAAAGATCATAGAATCATTTAGGTTGGAAAAGACCTTTAAGATCATGGAGTCCAACTGTAAACCTAACACTGCCAAGTCCAGCACTAAACCATGTGCCTAAGTTAATACCGCCAGGGGTGCTGTCAGTACCTATGGCCAAATATATGCATTGGTAACAACACCATCAAATAAAAAAAGTAGATTAATTTGACCTATGCCTATCCACATATACACAATTCAGAGAAACTGGCTGAAGAGATGGGCAGGACCAAAGGACATTTTCTGAAGGAAATCTTGTAAGACTCCAGTTTTAATAACACATAGCCCTGCCAATCTCATTGCAGAAACATGAGAGCACCCGCTTTCAATTTAAAGTGCTCTCCTCCACACGTAGCACTTCTCTGAACCCATCACTTCTCAGGAGGCTCTTTCTCAGGCAGTCTGCATTTTAAATCAAGCAGTTATGACAGTTTTCACTGCAAAAAGCAGGCAAATTAGTGAAAGCAGCATATACAGAAATGTGGTTATGATAATGGCTGAACAATAGTAATCGGGGTTCCTGGGAAATAACTAACTGCCTCAGATTTTTGCAGTGACCATCCATAGACAAAAAAAAGTAAGTCATGCAGGACTAAAACTGCTCGCTAGCTTTGGTGCCTAAAGTAATGAGTTACAAAATGGTGCAGGCTGAGATCATTAATCCTTGATTTATTGACAGGTTTGAAAGCTCTGGGTAGGTCTTTGTTAGAAATTCAGCTGAGAGTGCAATCTGCTCCTGCATCTATAATATTCTCAAAACCCTCTGTAATTTTAGATATGTGTGTTTTCCTGTGATGTCTTTGAGACAGAACGATGTGGGTAGTCCCATTTTTGTGGATGGGATGTTGAAGCTCAGAGGTAGCACATGTAAGTTATGGCTTGAAACCAGATTATCAGCACCTCACCTGCATGCCCCTTCTCTGCATAAAACTGGACTTGCAGACAGCACGCTGCTATTTTCATATTGTGTGAGTTCAGGCACAGGCTTGT